TAAAAATGCATGTAAGCACAGAGACAGCTTTGTATATAAATTCTTGGGAGTTCAAGGACAGCCCAAGAACCCTGACCCTGGCAGTATTCATTATGCATTGCCCTTTGCTTGTTCTGATTCATTTTGTCAAGAACAGAAAAAAGAGTCGATGCTCATTTTTAGGTTAGGTTCTCTAGAAACAGATTCTGAGATAAGCAGTTTGCATGGAGGAAGTTTATTGCAAAGCGCTTTTAGGATTACTGCCTGCTGGAGAGTGGAAGCGGTTTGGGCAGAGAGGAGAGAGGAACTGTGTAGTCCTCATGTAGCCCCAGTAAAGGCATCGCAGATCCCACGGCAGCTCTGAGACGGCTCTTCTGGTTCATCCCACCTGGACTCAAGGGGGTTAGGCCTTCACATACTCACACTCACTATGTAGCAGTCTTTGGATTAAGGGGGTCCCTGAGAGGGGGATGACCTTGGGCAAGGTGGTTCTCTTCAGCTGAGGGCATTTCCTGCAGAGGGGCTGGGTTTTGAGCTGTACTGCAGCCTCCACTCCCAGCAGCTGAGGGAATGAATGTCTCAGTCTAGAAGGAGGTCAGGTGGTTAACCCTGACCTTCAGGGTTAACATGGTAGCTTCCGCTACAATCTGCATGATGTTTGATTTGATGAGCCTGAGAGAGCTAATAGGCTGTTCAATTTGTTTGAAATCAATAGCACTTTGAAAAAATTACTTTCATGTTAGTAGTTAGGGTTTTGCATCAAGACTGACCTGCATTTGTGTCTCCTCGTCTCCACACACTTACTACTTGTGTGACTTTGGGCAAAGAATTTGACTTCTAAGCCTCAATTTCTGTGCAGTGTAGATAATAACCTGCCTTTTAGACTACTGCAAGGATGACAAATAAGCAGTTATCTTTCAGAGCTTTTTTCAGTCTTAAACTTAAGGTGATTTTAATACAAATAGAAATTTCACTTTATTGTAGTTTTGCTTTTCCAATTACTCCCTAACTCAGTGATTTTCAACTGGTGTGCCACCAGAATTTTTAAAATGTGCAGTACCTGACAAGTCAGGGCACTGACCTCTTTTCCCTTAAGACTGTCAAATAAAAAAATGACAATAGCCAACACCACGATGCAGTATGAATGAGTCAAAATTATACCTACTTTTCTGGGGGGGGAGGTCCACTGGCAAAAAATACATTTTTTGGTGTGCCACAGAACTTTGGTAATTAGTCTATGTGTGCCACGAGGTGAAAAAGGTTGAAAATCACTGCCCTAGGTGATCCTCACCACTTAGGAATCTTAAAAAAAACCTAAAGAACTCACACTAAATGCCATACATAAGAACAGTTCACTTACATCTTCTGATCCACAGCACTGGTTCTAAGCTTGTCCTTGGGACGCCTCTGATTTTGAACTGAACAAATAGCTAATGAGCACATGTTAAGGAGCGGCAGGCACCGGTCTGGGCAATCAGTAAACTACATCCTGCCGGCCAAATGCTGCTGCCCGTGTCTGTGTAGCTCAGAAGGTGGTCACGATTTTTACATTTTTAAAGAGTTTTTTAAAAAAGGAGTATGTAACGGAAACCAGAGGTAGTTCACAGTCTGGCCCTTTACAGGAAAATGTTTGCTGCCTCCTGGCCAAGACGGAGGAGCATCAGACATAAAAGTAAACAGGCAGACAGAACGCAAAAAATTAGGTGAGCATTACAAAGGAACAAAGGCCTGATTAGAACATTGAAGGGGACCTTTCTCCCATAGGGCAGTCAGAGAAGGCCTTCTCAGACAGTGACAGGTAAGCTGAAACCTGACAGGTGAGGAGGAGCCAGCCAGGGGAGAGGGAGGGAGGCTGGTATAAGCAGTGGGGAGAGCACAGACAGACAACGGGAGGTGGGACTGGCCTGGGTAGTTGAGAAGCTGTGGCCTGAGCACTGTGGAGTAGGGGGAAGGACAGGTAACGCAGGGCCTTAGATGCTGTGGGAAGAGTGGATTTTATTCCAAGTGCCAAAAGAAAACCACCACTGCAGTTGCCGCACACGTGTGAGCAGGAAGGTCGCATTTCTGGAGTTCCACCTGGTAGCCAGAACAGGTGCCTGGCCTGCCTGTGCCCCACCTTCCCTTTCCGTACAGAAGGCTGGTGTGAGGTGTGTCGGGAACTGTGATTCACTCATTTCCTTTGGGGTCTGCAGGCAGAGGGGACATAGTCGATCCTAGACAAACTTAAAAACACGTAATACTGGTGTCAGGTAACCTCCCAGCTCCTGTCTGGTGATGCTTCTGATGTATTAGCTCCCCTTCTGTGCCCTGACTCATGTGCACTGGCTTGTCTAGAAGTCTTCCATCCCAGTCACATGTTTCAAAGTTGTCCTGATTCACGCTCCCCGCACGAGTTAGTCTTGGGGGATAGTAAACATGCTTGTTACCTGACCTACTGACCCATGAGGCCATCACTAGGAGGTGAGAGCAGGAAGATTCAACAGAGCAGGGAGCCGTGAGGCACCCTTAGTGTCATTCTCAGGGCCTCCGCCTGGTGTCGTGCAGTCCGGTGGGGGAGCACGTGGTCCAGCTCCAGAAGTGCCGGGTGTGGTACCCAGGCTCTGGCAGTCTGGTTCCCGTGTCTCCACGATGAGGTCCCCCTCGCCCCCAGCTGACAGGAATCTCTAGCCCCATGTGATAGGGGACCCCAGAGCATTGTTACGGGAGTTTCATTCATGACTATGGGGATATAATCAGGGAAGATTATAAATTGTCCACAACTTCCTATTCTCTTTGCCCCTCCTCAGAAAAGTGGGAGGTGGGAGAGCCTGGTTGAGGAATGGCTACAACAAAAATGACAATGGGAGAGCTGGGTTGAGATTTATGCCTAATTTCCATGAATAAAGTTTTATGCATGTAACTGCCAGAACTAATTTTTCTATATTAAGATTTAAACACAATCATGTTATCACTGGTAACTAGAGGGAATATTTGAACAGCTTTTGATATTATGAACTTTTCTTTCTTATAACTTGATGACTTCCATGTAAGAAAATACTAATTTCTGATATATTAGTGAATTAACTTACCTGTATTTTCTTCTGAATCTTACTATTTTTTCTTCTAGAGAAGAAATGGGTCTAAAGATAGCCTGATTGAAGAAAAATCTCAGGCATCTACAAGCAATCTGGCTGGAAAACATATAGCAAAAACAATAAAAACTATCCAAGCTTCACGCCTCAAGACAGAGACTTGATCCCAGTGAGGGGCAGGGGTGGGGGTGGGGAGGGAGGGTGTGTGCTGCCTTTACTTTGAAGCTGTGAATTATCATTGTTCAAGTATCTTGGACCTGCAAGTGTTTGTTCAGAAGAATTGAGTCTGTTGCTTCTTTTAAAGGTTTAACTACAGTATATTTGTGCTGAAGGGCCTTTTTATTTGGTAACTGGAAGGACAGTCTTGTAAAAACTTGTTCACTGGATCCATATCCTCAACCAAAACCAGACGCGTCCGACCCGAGGTCTGGGACCCCGGACTGCAGCTGGCTAGCTGCGCAACAGCATCACACTGAGTGGGATGAAAAAGGTCTTCCCAGCTCTACGTGGCTCTTGGCCTGTGCAGACGCGTGACTGAGGTCGCATCACTTTTGAGACAGTAGATGTTTTTATTCATATAAATGTTCTTTGTAAAGCTGTATTTTGTGGCATTACGTTCCACTGGTTATTTACAAATGTAAAGCTTTTTGTTTGAAAGCATTGCTTTTAATTTCTAGTGTTCTTTTCATTAAAAAAAAAAAGCTCTATGTGGATTTTGGGTTATAAATTTGTGATTACCCTCAACCTCAATGGTCCCTCCATTCTGCTGAGCTATCTAACTCTCCTCAAAGACTATTTCAGACCTTTCCCCTGTGCAGATAGATGACTTTGCTCTGTACTTTACATGGAAAACAGACTAATACAAGCCATGTTTTACCTTCCCCTTACCACACCTCTTCCCCAAGTGGTTCTTGCAAGCTCATCTCCATAGTTTGTTTCTATAACTGAGAGAACTGGCCAGTGTTCTTCTAGGAGACCAACTAGTTTAAAACACTGCTTCACCAGCTGGATTTAGGGCATTATTGTGCTTGTCTACATACCTAACAATCATATGGACACCTCTCTCTCTTATTACCAAGTCCTGTTACCTCTGTCCTCCATAGCTTAATTATCCCTCTACTAATCTGCCACCAAATTGGCTGTAGTAGCCTCCAACTGGCCCACCTGTATACTTTTTCTTGCAAATGTGAACTAGTTCTATACTATAAAATTTCCTATTGCTTCAGACATAGCCTTAAGTGGTCTGGCACCTTACCTGTTCAGTCTGTAACACCCCCAGCTTTCCTTATGGCCACCTAACTTGCCTCATTAAGCACTCAACTCTGTCTACATCAGACCACTAATGAGGGAAAGCAGCTACAACTGTCACAACTAGGGACTTATGGCCACACCCTCTAGCTAAAAGCCCTCTACACATGCTATTCCTCCAAGTTGGCCCAGCAAAACCCTCACCTACCCTTGGTCCCAACTCTGCTTTCTCAGGTTTCCTGACTTGGTTGGATTTGTCTCACAAAGGAGACTTTACATTTGTGATGACGCCTCCCTCCATTTGTAATCTTTCAAAGGGTGGGACTGTTTTACTCACTATTGTGTTCCTAGATCCTAGCACTTACAATAAATTTTCTGAATTCTTTAAACACATTATTTGTTCTTTCCTTAAAAGTGAAGGCAGAAGATATGCCAACGCAGTTTACAATTTAGTAAAAAACACAGTGGCGATGCAAAAGCACAGCCGTACCCTACACACCAAATAGTCTAGTTCAGTTCATCACAAGGCACATCCCTCCCTGGGCTTTACCATAAGCCTATTAGTTACAGCAGTGAATATTAATCTTAACTGCTGAGACTTAACAAGTTTGAAGTTGCTGAGCAAGGAGGGAGAAATCCTAATTTTTCTGCAAAAAAAAAATGCTATTTTCTGGCAGTCACACAATACACAAATCCCCAAGATGCACATTTAAATATTTATTCACAGACTCATTGTTTGAATTATGTATTTACAGATTGTGGGAAAGTGTTTAGGGTACTCCACATACTCTTTAAAATTTTTAAATGATCCAAGCAACTCCTTTGAAGAGCAGCTTTTCAAATTCATCAAAAAACCCTACAAGAAAAAAAAAGAAACAACTCAGCTTCACAAGCAAATATGTACATGTATCACACCTTAATCAACTCTGAATACATGCTTCTGCACTGCACTGTTAAGCGTTTCTGGAGTCAGATTTAAATGTCAACCCTAAAACGTGCCTGAGATTTGCCAAATGGTTCTTTTCCCCTTTACCACACAGAAACATCGTAAGTTATTAAAGTTAGCTATTAACTTCATCTTGTTAATTACAGATGTAGCAGTTCTAATAAGTCATTAATACCCAGTTTGACACCCACAAAAGAAGGCACCCTAATGTAGAAAGGTGATCAAGTTCACATTACAAATAACTCCTTCTAGACAGAACTACTTCAAATTCTCACCTTGGGTCACATGTGTGCTCCCAGGTAGTAGTCAGCTAGCAGCCGTCCATGCTTCAAGCACCCATCTTTCACCTGGTTAAAAATTAGTTAAAACCAGTTAAAATAAACTCTACACTAAATGTTGGCCGAATCAAGATCCCATGTGCAAACAAACGAATGTGAAAGCATATACTGTTACTTATGCAGCTCCTACACCAAAGAGATCATATTCAAGGGCAGGAAAGGGCTGCAAAGTGTTTAATTTACGCCTTTCTTGACACCACATTCACTAGTTTCCAAAAGTGAACGGGCAACACAAAGGCAACACCAAGTTGCTACACAAAGACCCGGTGGTCTTTGTGCCCCAGAGAAGATCTAGGACACAAGGAAAATTTCCACCTAATTTTTTGCTGACCCTAAGGCAACCAGCTGAGATGAGCTGTTGTTGATTAGAGATGGAACGGTAATGATTAACTAATCCCAGGTCTCTCTTTTACAATTCGAAATGCGACAGGGTAATGAAAACTGAGACACAAAATGTTCTTGCACGGTTAAAATCTTAAGTTTCATGAGACTGGTCTTTTTTTTTTTACACTAACATAGAAACTCACCTGCAGAGTTGGTGTTTATTCGATTTCCACCAAGTTCTGCACCTTGACATGGCTGTTATGATCTAAATCTTAAGTGACTCTTCCACGCTGTGACAGGCCGTTCCCTTCCACAAAAAACCCTCGCGCATATTAAAAACTTCCTGGCATACAAGGTCGACGAGCAGTGAACTCAAATGCACTCAAACCGATGTCCCTAACTCCTGGCGTGGGAACGCAGACTGCGGTCCGCTTCAGGCCTCGCGAGGTCCCACCGACAATGCGGCCGAGGACTGGCCCCGCCGCTGCCATCCCAGCGTTCCGGGCTCGGGACCTCGGACCTAGTCGGGCTGCCGTGGATGCATCGCTGGGCTCAGGGCAGCCGCGCGACTTGCCCACCGCCCCCGCCGGCAAGAGGCCACGCGGTAGCGCTCTCCACAGCCACCGCTATCCAGGAATCACAAGAGCCACCACTCACAGCTCCGGAACAAGGGCAAGAAAGGCTGCGCGGCCTTCCCACAATGCTTTTCTACCACTGGAAGAATCCACTGTCCAAAGGGCGCAGGGAGAACGGGCTGTACCATTGGCCATCGCGCGCTCGTGAAACGCCACTTTGTGGCGGGAGGGCGAAGTGCCCAGTGATTGACAGTGGGGCGGGTCTCCAAGGCGGAAGGGTCTCTAGCCGCACTCTTTTTGCTTTGTGCGTCAGTCGTATCTGCAGAGAAGATTTTTTTAAAAAAAATCTCCACTCGCCTCGGTTCCCAGTGTCGGGAGCACTTGTTCAGCGCCGAGCTGCCCGTGTTGCCCCAGGGATTTGAGACTTTTTTCCTGGGGGAGGGCAGCGAGTTCACCATCTCCAGAGAGTTCACCATTCATTCAAAAAATATTTACTGAGGACTCGCTTCAGGCTGCGTTGTAAATGCCTGGGAATCAGGTACGAAGGAGACGGGCAAGATTCCTGCTTGCATTCTGGTTGGGTGAGGGAGACACTGAGCAGGTGACACCCGGAGGCTGTCAGTCCGGGTCGTGTGAGCACCAACAATGGAACACTAGTGCTGTCCTACAGAATACACTGCGAACCGCGCTGGTGATGTAAACTTTTCAAAACGTCACATATAAAAGTAAGAACAAACACTAATTTTAATAAAGTAATTCAACACAGTCTAAATATCATTTCACATGATATTAATTAAAAATTAATGATATACTTTCCATTCTTTTATTCCTACTAAGCCTGAAAAGGCCAGGGTAAGTTTTATATTTCTGGTACATTTCATCCCGATTAGCCACATTTCAAGTGCTCAGAAGCAGGCCTTGGCCCATGCGGCTGGGGCAACCACAGGAGTGCAGAGTGGCCCTCGCTGCAGCAGATGATACAGGCAGCAGCAAATGATATAGAGCTTTGTACTTGTGCTAAGCAGTTGGGATTTTATGCTGAAATTTTAGGATTGATTATTACCATGAAAATGAAGCAAAGGTTGTTTGCTGGCCTTTTGCTGATGATCATAACTCATTGAAGGGATAGGAACTGCAGTAATGCAGGCTGTATGGGAACAACTGGTGCCTGGGCTCCTGTAAGTCCTGGTAGAGTCTGGTCCAGACGCCACATTCCAGCACCTTTGTTTGTTTGTTTGAGCTTTACTGCTGAAAAAAAAAGAAAGACATGGAAGGGAAGGAAGGAAAGAAAATTAAACCCATTGCCCAGAGTGGTCAGCACACAAGGGCTAGCCTGGATGATAAGGTCAACTTGGGGACAGTGTGGAAGAAAATGGCCACACAGAAGAAGTAAATGTATAATCGCAAGAAGGTAAATAACTCCAAGAGCTTCATTAGGAACTCACTGTAACACCCCAGAGAGAGGAAGTTTGGGGAAGGAGGATGACATCTCCAAGAGTGTCATTTAATGACACTGAAGGGTAGAGTGTGGGCATTGTAACACCTTAATGTTGCCCTCTTGCTGGAGAAAGTCAGAGAGAAGACGTTGCCTTGGGCTGGCACAGCCAGATGACCCCGGTTTCGGTCCGCCTCTGACAGGTGTCTCCTCGGGTAGATGAGCACTTCTCTGAGCTCAAGCTTCCTCCTTGACAGGGTGTTCCCTGTAACATACGACACCCATGGAGCATGCAGGTTAGTTTAAAGAATGAAGAAAAGTTTTCAGAAGCTTCTAGTACTGTGTAGTACATAGTAACGTCCAATAAACGACTCTAAGGGGTTAGATTCTTCCTCTCGTTTACCAACACCCAGGTATGGAAACTTTGATCGAATTCTTAAGGAAGGGGGAAATTTGCTGCTGTTTTTCTTGGAATGCTCCCGCCTTACTTTTTTTCTGTTCTCCTCTTTATATATTTTCCCTAAATTCTGGGCAATTCAAGAGTAGGGGGAGGCATTTGTTCCAATTATTGGAGTAGGGTTGGTATCTAGAAATGAGTTCTAAATTCATCTTCCTGTCTGCTTCAACCTCACGCATCCTGGTATGGAAAACTCAGTCACTGAGCAAAGGCAAGCAGAAAGTACATGAGAAAAAGATGGGGGGTGTTTTCTACCCAGTATCCTTCCCACCCTTGCTCACTGGGGCAGATGCATTACATAAGGATGTACAAGCTACGAAAGGTACTGGTGTAAACATGGAACAACCGCAGTTTCCCTGGGTAGAAGGCAGACTAATGGTTCCCCAGAGATGTCCAGTCCGAATCCCCAGAGCCTGTGAATGTTTCCTCACATAGTAAATGGTGCTTTGCAGATGTGGTTAACATTTGGGACCATGATATGAGGAGATAGACGTTGAAGGGGAAAGCAGAAGACTCAGAGATGGGGCAGGAGAGAAGGCAGGAGAGGGACTTAACCTTACTCCCTGGCTTTGAAGATGGGGAAGATTTTTGCAGCCAAAGAATACCAATGGCCTCCTCTTAGAGCTGGGGATGGCTCTCAGGTGACGCCCGCGAGGAAACAGGGGTTTCATTTCTGCAGATGCATGGAACTGGGTTCTCCCAACAACCTGAATGAGCATACAAGCAGACTGTCCCCTAGAGCCTCCAGAAAACAAAACAGACTTAAAAAAAATCCTCACCTGAGGATATGTGTTTATAGATTTTCAGAGAGAGGGTGTGGGGAGCAGGGAGAGAAACATCCATAGGTCGCCTCGGACCGGGGATCAAACCTGCAACCTAGATATGTACCCTGACTGGGAATTGAACCCACAGCCTTTTGCTGTGTGGGATGCCCCTCCAACCGAACCACATGGCTAGGGCAAAACACAGCCTTTTCTATGTTTTGATTTTAGCCCAGTGAAACTCATGGCAGACTTCTGACCTACAGAGCTGTGATAATAAACTTGTGTCGTTTTGAAAGCAGCCCAATTTGTGTTAATTTGTTATGGCAGCAAGAGAAAGTTAATACATCCTGTAACACATGGAGAGTGAGAATTGACTTGTCCCACTCCAATATTCTCATCAGGATCATAAATAAGATTTTTCAGAGGAGTATGCACATTTATTTTAATTATGATGAGTGCTTTTGTTTATGGTGGGTGCTAGAGATCCAATTGAATATCCAAGTCATGTTAAATAATTTGCATACTTAAACTTTTTTCCAGGTTTTATTTATTTATTTTTAGAGAGAGGGCAAGGGAGGTAGAAAGAGACGGAGAGAAACATTGATGTGTGAGAGGAAGGTTGCTTCTCACATGCCCCCAGCTGGGGACCTGGTCCACAACCCAGGCATGTGCCCTGACTGGGAACTGAACCCGAGACCTTTTGGTTCACAGGCTGGCACTCAAACCACTGAGCCACACCAGCCAGGGCAATAATTTGAATAATTTTTATAATTTAAAATACTTTGTAGATTTTGGGGGGAGGGGTTTTCCTTAAACAATTGTATTGTCTGTAGAAGCTTTATTTCTTCCTTTCCAATTCTTACACCTCTTGTGTGTGTCTGTGTGTGCAAGCATGTCCAGCAGAGGTCCCCAGAACAATGTTGAACAGAGTGATAATAGTAGACATCTGTGTCTTATTCATGGTTTTAAAAGAATGCTCTTAAAGTTTCAGCATGTGTGTTTGATATTTTTGTGCCTTTCCTATTGTTTATTGGGTTAGGGAAGTTTCCTTCTATTTATAGTCCTAGTTTGCTGTTGTTTTTTTAATGATAGGTAAATGTTGACCTTTATTAAATGTCTCTTCTGCCTGTAGTAAAGTGAGGTTTTTTTCTTGTAATTTGTTTATGAGGTGATTGTATTAATACATTTTGTAATGTTGAACCAATCCTGCGTTTCTGGAAGAAACCAAACTTGTCATTGAAAAAAAATGTTTTGTTTGGAAGTGCTGCACTTAACGTTTATGGATAAGATGGGTCTGCCATCTTTGATAGTTTTGATGTTAAAATTATACAGACATTTACTTAATAGTACTGGCTCATTCCTACAAATCAGATGTTCTATGCCAAACATTAACTGGGAGCTTTTCCCCCTTTATTTTAAATGGTGAAATTATTATAATGGGTTATTTGTTAAGCCTAACCAATCTCATAAAATGCGTCTAAAATATACATAATACGACTTTAGGCTGTCATTGTTAGTGACTTTGCCAAACAGCACAGTTGTTAACAAATAGTTTCTTTGTCAGCAGTAACATAGTCTTTCTTTGTTATTTTTCTGCTTGCTTTGCTTCGCTTCCATCTCTACTGTTCCTTGACACTTTTTCAACGTTTTTCGTTTTCATTCTACAAAACTAGAGAAAGAAAGGGCAATATGAAATATGAAAGTGGAAATATGTCAGAGGAGGATAATTTAATGCTTCTTTTATCACCAGTAGTATTTGTGTGGAATAGCCCCTTCTTTGATATTCAGTATGCTTTTTTTAAATCCTTACCTGAGGCCATGCTTCTTGATTTTAGAGAGAGGGGAAGGGAAGCAGAGAGGGAGAGAGAGAAGGATCGATGCCAGAGAGAAATATTTGGTTGCCTCTTGAACCAAGGACCAAGCCCACAACCCAGGCATGTGCCCTGATGAGGAATCAAACCCATGACCTTTTGTTTACAGAACGATGCTCCAACGAACTGAACCACATTGACCGGGGCTCAGTATGCTTTTTGATTTGCTGATACATGAAGTAGATATTTGATTAATTGTATTTGTAATGTACCTCAAGGCCTTCCCCACACCTGGGCTTTGTTTTTGTTTTGCTTGTTTTTTCCAGGTTTTTGTTATTGGTAAAAATGTTGCATTGAGTTTTGGTTGTAATTTTCCCATATAAATATCAGTCAAAATGTTGTTTTGAGAGATGTGTGTGTTGTATGATCTTGGATGTTAAATACAAAAGGTGATTTACTGGGAAAACAGCCAGGAAAACGTTCTGTGGAATATGCCTGTACCAGCTTTGTAAGATTAGTTGGAGAGCTTTTCCTGTATTTCTCTTCTCCGAAAAATATAATATTAGAGTTATTTTTGTTAACCTTTAAAGTAAACCTCACTTTGAAAACTGTCTAGCCCTAGCAT